CCCCCCCCATCCGCATGCCACGTCACTGCCCCCCCCATCCGCATACCACGTCACTGCCCCCCCCCATCTGCATACCACCGTCACTGCCCCCCCCATCCGCAGACCACGTCACTGCCCCCCCCCATCCGCATACCACGTCACTGCCCCCCCCATCCGCATACCACGTCACTGCCCCCCCCATCCGCATACCACATCACTGCAGGCCCCCCCCATCCGCATACCACGTCACTGCCCCCCCCCATCCGCATACCACGTCACTGCCCCCCCCATCCGCATACCACGTCACTGCCCCCCCATCCGCATGCCACGTCACTGCCCCCCCCCCCCCATCCGCATGCTACGTCACTGCCCCCCCCATCCGCATACCACGTCACTGCCCCCCCCCATCCGCATGCTACGTCACTGCCCCCCCCCATCCGCATACCACGTCACTGCCCCCCACATCTGCATACCACGTCACTGCCCCCCCCATCCGCATACCACGTCACTGCCCCCCCCCCCATCCGCATACCACGTCACTGCCCCCCACATCTGCATACCACGTCACTGCCCCCCCCATCCGCATACCACGTCACTGCCCCCCCCATCCGCATACCACGTCACTGCCCCCCCAATCCGCATGCTACGTCACTGCCGCCCCCCATCTGCATACCACGTCACTGCCCCCCCCCCATCCGCATGCCACGTCACTGCCTCCCCCCCATCCGCATACCACTTCACTGCCCCCCCCCCCCCATCCGCATGCCACGTCACTGCCCCCCCCCCATCTGCATACCACGTCACTGCCCCCCCCCCATCCGCATACCACGTCACTGCCCCCCCCCATCCGCATACCACGTCACTGCCCCCCCCATCCGCATACCACGTCACTGCCCCCCCCCCATCCGCATACCACGTCACTGCCCCCCCCCATCCGCATACCACGTCACTGCCCCCCCCATCCGCATACCACGTCACTGCCCCCCCCATCCGCATACCACGTCACTGCCCCCCCCATCCGCATACCACGTCACTGCCCCCCCCCCATCCGCATACCACGTCACTGCCCCCCCCATCCGCATACCACGTCACTGCCCCCCCCCATCCGCATACCACGTCACTGCCCCCCCCATCCGCATACCATGTCACTGCCCCCCCCATCCGCATACCACGTCACTGCCCCCCCCATCCGCATACCACGTCACTGCCCCCCCCCATCCGCATACCACGTCACTGCCCCCCCCCATCCGCATGCCACGTCACTGCCCCCCCCCATCCGCATACCACGTCACTGCCCCCCCCTCATCTGCATACCACGTCACTGCCCCCCCCCATCCGCATACCACGTCACTGCAACCCCCCCCATCCGCATACCACGTCACTGCCCCCCCCCCATCCGCATACCACGTCACTGCCCCATCCGCATACCACGTCACTGCCCCCCCCATCCGCATACCACGTCACTGCCCCCCCCATCCGCATGCCACGTCACTGCCCCCCCCCATCCGCATGCCACGTCACTGCCCCCCCCCATCCGCATACCACGTCACTGCCCCCCCCCATCCGCATACCACGTCACTGCCCCCCCCCCCATCCGCATACCACGTCACTGCCCCCCCCCCCCATCCGCATACCACGTCACCGCCCCCCCCCATCCGCATACCACGTCACTGCCCCATCCGCATACCACGTCACTGCCCCCCCCATCCGCATACCACGTCACTGCCCCCCCCCCCATCCGCATGCCACGTCACTGCCCCCCCCATCCGCATACCACGTCACTGCCCCCCCCCATCTGCATACCACGTCACTGCCCCCCCCCATCCGCATACCACGTCACTGCCCCCCCCCCATCCGCATACCACGTCACTGCCCCCCCCATCCGCATACCACGTCACTGCCCCCCCCCATCCGCATACCACGTCACCTGCCCCCCCCCATCCGCATACCACGTCACTGCCCCCCCCCCTCCGCATACCACGTCACTGCCCCCCCCATCCGCATACCACGTCACTGCCCCCCCCATCCGCATGCCACGTCACTGCCCCCCCCCCATCCGCATGCTACGTCACTGCCCCCCCCATCCGCATACCACGTCACTGCCCCCCCCCATCCGCATGCTACGTCACTGCCCCCCCCATCCGCATACCACGTCACTGCCCCCCCCATTTGCATACCACGTCACTGCCCCCCCCATCCGCATACCACGTCACTGCCCCCCCCCATCCGCATACCACGTCACTGCCCCCCACATCTGCATACCACGTCACTGCCCCCCCCATCCGCATACCACGTCACTGCCCCCCCCATCCGCATACCACGTCACTGCCCCCCCCATCCGCATGCTACGTCACTGCCCCCCCCCATCTGCATACCACGTCACTGCCCCCCCCCATCCGCATGCCACGTCACTGCCTCCCCCCCATCTGCATACCACGTCACTGCCCCCCCCCCATCCGCATGCCACGTCACTGCCCCCCCCCCATCTGCATACCACGTCACTGCCCCCCCCCATCCGCATACCACGTCACTGCCCCCCCCATCCGCATACCACGTCACTGCCCCCCCCATCCGCATACCACTTCACTGCCCCCACCCATCCGCATACCATGTCACTGCCCCCCCCATCCGCATACCACGTCACTGCCCCCCCCATCCGCATACCACGTCACTGCCCCCCCCCATCCGCATACCACGTCACTGCCCCCCCCCATCCGCATGCCACGTCACTGCCCCCCCCCATCCGCATACCACGTCACTGCCCCCCCCTCATCTGCATACCACGTCACTGCCCCCCCCCCCATCCGCATACCACGTCACTGCCCCCCCCCCCCATCCGCATACCACGTCACTGCCCCCCCCCATCCGCATACCACGTCACTGCCCCATCCGCATACCACGTCACTGCCCCCCCCCATCCGCATACCACGTCACTGCCCCCCCCCCATCCGCATGCCACGTCACTGCCCCCCCCATCCGCATACCACGTCACTGCCCCCCCCATCTGCATACCACGTCACTGCCCCCCCCCCATCCGCATACCACGTCACTGCCCCCCCCCATCCGCATACCACGTCACTGCCCCCCCCATCCGCATACCACGTCACTGCCCCCCCCATCCGCATGCCACGTCACTGCCCCCCCCCCATCCGCATGCTACGTCACTGCCCCCCCCATCCGCATACCACGTCACTGCCCCCCCCCATCCGCATGCTACGTCACTGCCCCCCCCCATCCGCATACCACGTCACTGCCCCCCCCATCTGCATACCACGTCACTGCCCCCCCCATCCGCATACCACGTCACTGCCCCCCCCCATCCGCATACCACGTCACTGCCCCCCACATCCGCATACCACGTCACTGCCCCCCCCCTCCGCATACCTCGTCACTGCCCCCCCCATCCGCATACCACGTCACTGCCCCCCCCATCCGCATGCTACGTCACTGCCCCCCCCCATCTGCATACCACGTCACTGCCCCCCCCCATCCGCATGCCACGTCACTGCCTCCCCCCCATCCGCATGCCACGTCACTGCCCCCCCCCATCCGCATGCCACGTCACTGCCCCCCCCCCCATCTGCATACCACGTCACTGCCCCCCCCCCATCCGCATGCCACGTCACTGCCCCCCCCCCATCCGCATGCCACGTCACTGCCCCCCCCCATCCGCATGCCACGTCACTGCCCCCCCCATCCGCATGCCACGTCACTGCCCCCCCCCATCCGCATGCTACGTCACTGCCCCCCATCCGCATGCCACGTCACTGCCCCCCCCATCCGCATGCTACGTCACTGCCCCCCCCCATCCGCATACCACGTCACTGCCCCCCCCCATCCGCATGCTACGTCACTGCCCCCCCCATCCGCATACCACGTCACTGCCCCCCCCATCCGCATACTACGTCACTGCCCCCCCCATCTGCATGCCACGTCACTGCCCCCCCCCATCTGCATACCACGTCACTGCCCCCCCCATCCGCATGCCACGTCACTGCCCCCCCCCATCCGCATACTACGTCACTGCCCCCCCCCATCTGCATACCACGTCACTGCCCCCCCCATCCGCATACCACGTCCCTGCCCCCCCCCCATCCGCATGCCACGTCACTGCCCCCCCCCATCCGCATGCCACGTCACTGCCCCCCCCCATCCGCATGCCACGTCACGCACCAATCCCAGGCAGGAACCCCATGTCCACCTGTGGCTCGTCCCGCCAGCCAGTCGCTAACTAAGTAGCTCCCACCCCCTACCCACCCACCAGGTGCTGCTGCTGCGGCACGCAGGCTCCAATCGCACCGCGTGGATCACGGGGGAGCTCATTTGACCATACTTCACCATTCCGGTCGCCACAAGCTTCGTGAAGCGGGTGGGGCCACTCGCCGACGTTAGCCGTGGCCGGGAACGGAATTTGAGAAAACCGGGTTCACGGAGCAATGCGCTAACCACCGCACCACCGCTCCACATTCCTGGGTTTAATCCCAGATTAATCCCAATGGATCCTCGACCACACCCGTCTATCCCCCCTCACCCCCCACCGCACCCCCACCCTCCTCCCCCAGCGGACACAACTCAAAACAATTATGAAGTTGGGCCGGACGTCGCTAATCACCCTAATAGCCCTAATTAACAACTGGTTAGCTCCGCAGCGTCCCGGAAAGGCCCCGGCGAGCCTCAAGGCTCCTCGCGGGAGGGTTGTGCACCGCGACGTTGGGCACGAGCTCTCTCCGAGCGCTCTCCGCCAGGACCCCGTGGAGTGCCCGGAGAGAAGCGGCACTCGCGAGGAGCTGGCGCCCTCGTAGAGTAGCAGCCTCCCGGCTGTGCGCCGCCACAGTCACCGCAACGCACCCGCAAGGGAGACCCTGACAACTGCGGCTGCCCCGTGTGTGTGTCTACTCCTGCGTGTGGCTGCCCCCCGCTGCCCCCCCTCCCCCACAATGTGGCTGTCCCCCACCTCTCTACGTGTGACTGCCATCCCAGTGAGGCTGCCCACTATGTGGATGTCCCCCCCCCCGACCCACCTTCTTGCTGCAGTAGAGCTGCCACTTCTTCTCGTCGGGCAGAGCGAACATGTCCGCGCGGTTCTTCTCGGGGAGATCCAACTCGTCCTGCAGAGGCGGGGCAGAGCTCGCGTGAGACTCACGCAGACGCACTCGCAGGCACGCGCACGCAGACACGCGCACGTGCATAGGCACACGCACACACAGACATACACAGAGACACACGCACACACAGACATGCACAGAGACACACGCATGCATAACACACGTATATAGACAAAACAAACAAAGACAAAAATCCCCCGTATAGCCTTAACCGATTTTTGGGGCAAGTGCTATTAGCAAACACGTATAAAGGCCGGAACGGCACACGAGGTGGCGTATGGGCAACACCACGCCCGGCCGCCTTTTTCTCCCTAGTGGCGATGTTTACAGAATGCACCGGGTACTCATTTGAGGCTGAATCAACCGAGAGGAGTCCGAGGACCGGTTCTGATAATCGTCACCGGTGTTGGCCATGAGCGGGAATCGAACTCGGGTCACCGGGTTCACAGCGCAGCGCTAACCGCTACACCACCACTCCACACCTGCACGGAAACACGCAGCAACACACACACAAAGATGCACGAACACAGACACGCACCTACACGTAGACACGCAGGCACGCACACGGTTGAGTCAAGGACCAGACACACACCGACTTGGGGGGCGGGGTGGGGGGCACGCACCACCAGCTCCGCGAAGAGGGCCTGCAGCTCCTCGTGGGGCGGCATGGGCGCCTGGGGCCACTGCGGGGGGGCGGCGGCCCCCCCCGGGCCCTGCACGGCGTGCGTGATCTGCTGCGAGCCGTGGTGGCCCAGACCCAGCGTGCGCAGCAGCCGGCTCTGCCTCTTCTTCTTGCCCGCCATCCTCCTCCTCCTCGCTCTCCTCCTCCTCCTCCGCGCTCTTCTGCTGCTGCCGCCGCTGCCGCTCTCTCCTCCTCACGAGCCGCGCCCGCCGCTCATGGCCCCCCTGGCGGAGTGGAGAAACGGAGAGGAAGGGGGGGGGGAGCTCAGGGGGCAGTGGAGAGGGAGGGAGCGAGGACCCTGGAGGGGTTCGTGACGGGAAACGCGAACCCCGCTCTCTGTCTTCTGCACGGGGACTCGGGGACGTGGGGGGCGGGGGCAGAGGGGGGGGGCCCTCCCTGCCCCCGCAATTTCCGCGGGGGATGGAGGCGACGGGAAATGGCTTCGGCTCTTCCTGCTCACGGTGTCATGCACTGTGTCACTACTGACTGTGTCACTACTGACTGTGTCACTACACACTGTGTCACTACTGTGTCAACTACCGTGTCACTCCTCGCCGTGTCAGCTACTGTGTTACTACTCAGCGTGTCAACCACCGTGTCAACACTCACTGTGTCAACCACCGCGTCACCGCTCACTGTGACAATTACTGTGTCATCACTCACTGTGTGAATCACTGTGGTGTCACTCCTCACTGCGCACTGTGTTACATTGCCACTGGCTGTGCCACTCGCCGTGCCACTCGCCGCTTCGTACAGGCGACTCGACTTTTGTGCCAAACGTCAACCCCCTGACGCTTGCAGCAGCAGAGCCACTGCAGTTTGCAGCGGCTCCACTTCCTGCCGTGCGACCCCCCCTCCCCTCCCCTCCCACGGTCTCAGCTCGCGCATCGTCTACGTCCTCCCACCGCCCGTTAGCGCGCATCAGGAGCCGGGCGGGGTGGCCTCCCTCAGTGGTTCTCAACTGGGGGCACGCAGACCCCTGGGGGGCAGGGGGGGGGGTACTCGGTTGAAACAAAATACAACAAGGAGGGGTAGAGTAGCAGCCAAACAAGGTTGAGAACCACTGGCCGCCTACTCAGTGACCTGTAAACATGCCAACCTGGGCACAACTGCATGTCCACGTTGCACGTTGCTGGTGCCTCGATGTAGACTGATGGCGGGTGGGGGAGACGGGGGAGAAAGCTAGAATTGGAATGTCGTCTCTCGCTATCGCCAAGCTGTGTTTGTGGGGGGCATCTCCATCCCTCTACGCGCATCACCACCACCACCATCATCAGCACCACCATCATCACTACCACCATCATCAAAAACCATCACCCGTCACCACGCTGCGTGTGCCCGGCTGTGTGCACGTTAAGGCCACACCCGCTGGTAAATCATGGGACAGAATCAGCGGTGGCACGGATCGACTGACTGAGATGACTGGCCGATGAACCACCTGTGCCCCCTACTGTGCCACCTTGCTGTGTTTTAGCTATCCGGTGCTCCGCTCGTTGTTGTGAGCGTTGCTCCTCTGCATTCCGTTGTTGTTGGAGGGCGACTGCCTCCAACTGCCCAGTGGCAGCGTCCTTCACGAGGCTCATTCACAGAAGCCGATCTTGACACTGCTGGTACCAGTCATCGGCAAGTCCACTCAGCTCCACGTCCTCCTGTACCACATCAGTCTTCTCTAGCCCGCGGCCGCTCCTGTTAAGTCCCCTCTATCTGGCCGAACAAAAGCTGTTTATGCAAGCGGTGGCTGGGCATGCGGGCGACATGACCCAGCCAACGCAGCCTTGCCTGCCGGAGAAGTTCACCGATGGGACCGTCTCCAGATCTTTCAAGGATTTGCGAGCTCCTCACACAATCCAACCTGCAGGTTAAACCCAGGATGGATGGTAGGCAGGCCGCCATAAATGTTTCTAACCGGCGAAGATGTTCCATTCAGGGGGTCCACGTTTGGCAAGCGTAGAAAAGGGAGGGAATGACCATGGCCGAGAAGACCCGGAACTTCGTGTGGAGGGGCAGACCAGGTAGCTTGCACACAGCGTTACGCAGCTGAAGTAAAGATAATGCCACTCGACTGATTCGGAGTGAGACCTCTGCTGTCAAACCGGAGCCAGTCATGAGCACACTGCCCAGGTATGGAGAACTCTCAAAACCATTACCACCATCACCACCACCAACCAACATCACCACCCTGAGCGTCCCCGTCTCTAGGCGCACGCCCTTGCAGAGAATCTACACCGACACCGCACGTCCCCAGACAGAAATACCATACACACATACCTGCTGTGATCTATACATAGACACGGGTGCCCCCGTGTAGCCTTTAACACGCTGCTGGGCCAACTGCTGCCACCGGGTACCTGTGAAGGTCAGAATGGCGCACGAGGGGGGACGTTGTGGCAAGCGCCACGCCCGGCTGTCTTTATCTCCCCAACCGGGTATTAATTCAAGGCTGAGTGGACGTAGAAGAGGTCCAGCACCGATTGTGATATCTCTCACCATGACCGGGACTCGAACCCAGGTTGCCGGGGTTCATAACGCTGTGCTCGAACCACTGCGCCACCGCTCCCATGTACAAGACAAATTTGTAAGGCCCCTTCCACTCATGGTCGCTTCTGTGCATGTGATCCCAATTGAGCCATTCGCGATGTCATTCTGAAATGTTGGCACCCTGACGCCGGCACACGACGGCCTCCTCTTGCGAATGACGCCACGGGATCTCCTAACCTCCACTGCAAGTGGAAGCAGACGGCGAGGAGTATTCCCTTTTGGTTATCCCACGCCGCAGCAGCAATACACGCGGCGACCGTTGGATTCCAGCCGCGAACCTCTGCAACAAGAAGTGGCCAACGGCTCTACCGCTCAGCCGCGTCGCTGGGGAGACAAAAGCGGCCGGGCGTGATCCTGGTCACAACCACCCACTTCGTGTGCAGTTCTGACCTTGAGAGGCACTCGCTAACAACATTAGTCCCCCGCCACTCTGCGCGTGTGCGAGAGAGACGGAGTGCGCTGGCGTGAGTCTAATCGCAAGCCACTGCCAAGCGGAAGATTACGGCGGCCGGCTTGGGGAGGGCCTTCATCCAGCAGTGGAGAGACCACGTGTGATGAGGATTCTCGGGCGGACGTGATGCTCTCTCCCGAGTGGGTGTGCGTTCTTCCCCGCGGCACTGCGGATCTCGCCCCCCACCCCCCCGCCTGCCGTCATTCGCATTTTGAACGTCAGATATTGCACGCGGCTGGGCGAGTCGCCCCCAGGTCCCCCTCACATCCCGGCAGCCAAGCGGGTCGCGCGCCTGCACAGTGCCCTGGCTCGTGGCCATGCGACCCAAAGCACGGAGCGTGGATGCAACAGCGGACCGCTGGAGTCCTCGCGCTCATTCAACGGAGGAGGAACAGCAAAACAAACCTGACACGAAACCTCTCCTCCCCCTGCGCTCGAGTCAGCAGGCGACCTCGACATCGTCTCGCGCAAGAATCTTGCCTGGATCGGCAACCACCATGAACACGCCGCTCGCCATGGTGCTGCGAGATTGCGTTGCTCGCGGGATGAGTGCAGGAACATCCACGCTTGCAACATTGCACTATCACTCCAACCCCGCGCCTTCACCAACGAGCATTGACCAGCGTGGTGAAGTATGATCATGTAACACCCACGACCTGCAAGGCGTGGGGAGGCCCTCATCCAGCAGTGGATTGAGACACATGTGCCTGTGCGTTTACACGAGTGAGTGAAGAGGGGTTTGCAGCGGTTCTCGCGACGCTGCACTACGAACCCGGCAGGGACTCGAGTTTGATTCCCGCTCATGGCCAACACCAGTCACGATCATCTGAACCGGTCACGGGCCTCCCCTAGGTCGACTCAGCCTCAAATGAGTACCTGGTGCGGTGTGTAAACATCGCCACTTAGGAGACAAAGGCGACCGGGCGTGGTGTTGGCCACCCACCCCCTCGTGTGCCGTTCCAGCCTACGTAGGTGCTCGCTAACAGCACTTGCCCCTACAGTCCTGTTAAGGCTATACGGGGGATCTTTGTGTGTAGGTGTGTGTAGGCGAGTGTGAGTGTAGGTGAGTGTGAGTGTAGGTGAGTTTGTGTGTAGGTGAGTGTGGGTGTAGGTGAGTTTGGGAGTAGTTGAGCGTGAGTGTAGGTGAGTGTGTGTGTAGGTGAGTGTGTGTGTATAGGTGAGTGTGTGTGTAGGTGTAGGTGAGTGTGTGTGTAGGTGTAGGCGAGAGTGTGTGTGTAGGTGTGTATGTGTAGGTGAGTGTGTGTGTGTAGGTGAGTGTATGTAGGTGTAGGTGAGTGTGTAGGTGAGTGTGTGTGTGTAGGTGAGTGTGTGTGTGTAAGTGTGTGTGTAGGTGTGTGTGTAGGTGTGCGTGTAGGTGTGTGTGTGTTTAGGTGAGTGTGTGTGTAGGTGTGTGTGTAGGTGAATGTATGTCTAGGTGAGTGTGTGTGTAGGTGAGTGTGTGTGTAGGTGAGTGTGTGTAGGTGAGTGTGTGTGTAGGTGAGTGTGTGTGTAGGATGAGTGTGTGTGTAGGTGAGTGTGTAGGTGTGTGTGTTTAGGTGTGTGTAGGTGAGTGTGTGTAGGTGAGTGTGTGTGTAGGTGAGTGTGTGTGTAGGTGAGTGTGTGTGTAGGTGAGTGTGTGTGTGTGCAGGTGAGTGTGTGCGTGTGTAGGTGAGTGTGTGTGTAGGTGAATGTGTGTAGGTGAGTGTGTGTGTAGGTGAGTGTGTGTGTAGGTGAGTGTGTGTGTAGGTGAATGTGTGTAGGTGAGTGTGTGTGTAGGTGAGTGCGTGTGTAGGTGAGTGCGTGTGTAGGTGAGTGTGTGTAGGTGAGTGCGTGTGTAGGTGAGTGTGTGTAGGTGAGTGCGTGTGTAGGTGAGTGTGTGTGTAGGTGAGTGTGTGTAGGTGAGTGTGTGTAGGTGAGTGTGTGTAGGTGAGTGTGTGTGTAGGTGAGTGTGTGTAGGTGAGTGTGTGTGAGTGTGTGTGTGTAGGTGAGTGTGTGTATAGGTGAGTGTGTGTGTAGGTGAGTGTGTGTGTGTGTAGGCGAGTGTGTGTGTAGGTGAGTGTGTGTAGGCGAGTGTGTGTGTAGGTGAGTGTGTGTGTAGGTGAGTGTGTGTAGGTGAGTGTGTGTGTAGGTGAGTGTGTGTAGGTGAGTGTGTGAGTGTGTGTGTAGGTGAGTGTGTGTAGGTGAGTGTGTGTGTAGGTGAGTGTGTGAGTGTGTGTGTAGGTGAGTGTGTGAGTG